GTGTGTGTGTGTGTGTGTGTGTGTGTGTGTGTGTGTGTGTGTGTGTGTGTGTGTGTGCGTGTGTGTGTGTATATAAGTCAATTAGGAAAGTTCAGTCATACCTTCTTCATCTCTTCCTCTACCATAGCCATGAAGAGGGCTTCGTTGTGTCCGTCCCATTTTTGGTTCTTCGTGTATCTTTTGATATAGAATTTCAATTTAGAGTAGTCGATTGCGTAGGGTGACCATTGTGTTGGACACTGCTCGTCAATTGTGGTCTGAAATCCCATGATATACAACCATATGCAGTTAGAGCGTACAGTCTATAATAGTTGACAATCCGCGAAGCGCAAATACACTTTAACAATAGCAACCTCGTGAGATTTTACCCCTTATCACACCACACAGTGATGCACAGGTAAATCTATATATGGTCTTTAAAAAAAAATATGTATGTATAATATGTATGTAAACAAATTTCTGACCCTCAATACACACAGATATAAAATATATATCACGATTATATATATCTAAAAATACCGATGATGTAATTGGTGATCATGCTGAAGATGTTTGATGAACCGTGCCACCAGATTCCAAATCGCCAAAAATAGGCAGCAGCTGAACCGCAAAGTGACTGGCCTGGGCAAGCGTGTCCCACCTCTGGGCCCCCACTGGTCAGTGGTTACTGTCCCTCCAATCCTGAGTTCCTGACTCGGGAGTCAGGAGTCAGGACAGGACCTATTTAACATCAATTCGTTTTATGGTCACCCTTGTGATACAAAATTTAATCAGGATTGCAGGCAAAACGGAACGTAAACGCAAAATTTTACACCACAGGCACCCACACCGCCCACAGAGCCACAGGGGGTATGTTAAATGCATTGAGCGACTGACCGAGGCCCGTGAGAGATGGCGTGTGCATACTGTAGTCTGTACAGGTGTACATGCGCTTATTGCACTTTAGTAATAATAATTATAATATCACCAGTGCCAGAGAATGTGACGTGTCGTCACATTCTCAAAAAAAAGGCCCGAATTGTTTTGGGGGGGATTTTTGGGAATGTAACGAGTCGTCACATTTCACTACGAAATTGTTTAGCCCTTATTTTCCCCCCGAATGATTTGTTTGGGCCCTTAGCTATTTGTCGGAATCAAAAGACCGGGAAATTCAGCGCGAAAACGAGCTAAGAAACACATTGAACGGACAATCGACACCGAAATGGTAGATGTTTGAAGTTGCAACTTCTATAGTATGAAATTGTAACTTCTATAGTAAGCGTGTACATATACTCACAATTGTGCTAGCATAGTAGTTGCAAAGCCATTATGGTACGCCACGTTTTAGGCTTAACACACCCTCAGCGAGAGGAGGAAAACCGCCCACAACATACACAGGATGTACATGTTGATAGTTATAGTGAAAGTCGTTTACTAGATGCATGCGATTCACTAGATGCACACAATGAAAGTTGTTTTTCACGATTCCACAAAGATGAACACTTCAAGGGCGAGTTGGTAGGCGTTAGAGGGAACAGACGCAAGTCTAGTACCAACGGCAGTGCTAATGTTAGTGGTGATGGTGACTCTGCTGACGACGAGTGCAACAGACGTATTACTGGCAGTACTAGTGTTAGTGATGGTAGTTCCTCTGATGACGATGAGCGCTAGTAAGCTATGTCAAGGGCCATGGGTTTACCTGGTTGCCGTCGACTCTACGGGGCGGGGTGGGGTGTTAATAAAACCCTAAACCCAAATCACACTAGCCTTTTTTTTAAATAAAGTTGTTTTGAATGAAATATTCATAAAGAATCCGTCTGTACTTTTAAAATATTGTTGGAAATGCAAGTCTGGTTTTGGATCTGTTTTGACAGTTCCTATCCTGATAATTTACTTTGTGGATCTAAATTATAAAGCATATTCCTGAAACCAAAAACTAAATAATTCATGCAGTCCTAACTTTTGATGAGTAAGCTAACTAATAAAAATCGGGATTTGTGAATGTAACGAGTCGTCACATTTCATTTCGATTTTTTTTTCTTTGTATCAGTTCTGGTAGAAACTATTTTTGAAAACAAATCCTTACAGGGTGCATTTTGGTAAAATGTGACGACGCATCACATTTTTGTTTAGGCAATGGTGATATAGAGATAAAATTTAGTGTCGTATTGGTCTGTTTCAAAGTTTGAATTTGAACAGGTTCGATATGGGCCTGTGTGAAACGAGCTTTGTAAAATTGCGTTTACTTTTCTTTTTTTTCAAAACAACAAAAACAACACCTATGTACCTAATGTTTTTTTTTAAATGTCAGCAACTAAAAACACAGCAAAACAACGAAAAGTCTGAAGCTTTGATAAATAAATACAATAGGAACCCAATGAAACACAATTTTTACAAACGTTGAACTGACAGTGCTATTTATTTATTCTCTCTTTTTTATAAATTATTTTGTTGTCTGAGACTCGACTCTGAGTGAATGTCCACTTCTGCAAAAAAAAAATATATATATAATTTAACACATACAGGAGAGCCGCTCTGTAGTGGACTCGACCACCAGCCACCAGCCACCACTCATCAGTAACCTCTGACCAAGCAATTTCGGTCTGGCGTCTGCCAGTCTGCCACAGGGACTCAGGCCCAGGGAGTGGCGCCCAGTCACCCACTGAGTGCACCCAAAGTGGTCCAGTGGGCCAGTGGCCCATAGTGGCTGAAAGCCTAAGCCCCGCCCCGAAGTCCTCAACTGTCAAGTCCCGAGGCCCCACCGCCAAAGCCTCAATCGTTTCGGTTAAAATCGCCAAATCTTGTATATTTAGTATTTTAGTATGTAGGATTAAAAATACATAAATATTTAGAACCCAGTTTTACCAGAGTTTTTATAAACTTCTTCATTACAAAAATACCCAGACAATGTTCTATTTATAGACCGCTTCAGACAGTCAATCAGAACCAAGATCGCCTTAGATACCGTAGCTGCAACTTTCAAATGCATCAAAATACGGAAAGTCGGAAATACGTACATAAGCGAACTAATACACCTAGTAACCCAAACAAAACACATATCAATGAATATATTACTTGCACACGTATATTTCTTCATACACTACAGTAAAAACTTAACTACATTCCATGCATATAGGTTCTGCCGGTATATGATAGGACTCGGTGTAGAATTAAAATAAACATAAATTCACGCTGCTAAGACAATCCGAGGTCACCTCGCTTTTATTTCCAATAGTCTAATACAGGTGCATCGTACATCTCTTGTCGTTTTATTCTATCTACCACGATGAAAATTCAAACTTCCCTACTACTAGCTGTAGCAGCCATAGCTGCGACACTCATACCCCATGTGGCAGCTCAAAACAATGCAGAGATCATCAGTCGACAGTACGAAGCCCTACGCAGTGCTGAAAACATTCAGAAACTCAAAGCCGCACATACCGAGCGTGGTAGTGGGGGTTACTTTCCCATGGCCAATGAACTAGACATGCAGGTGCTACAGAATCTAGTTAATGCCGATGCAGCCTATGCGCGTGTAAATCGTAAAGGCCCTCCTCCGCCGGCTCGAAGACATGCAGCAGAAATGAAGGCATCGGACCTGCACAACGTTGCGAACGAGGCGTACGCGGATATGATTAATAAGCGTAGAAGCGAACGGGAGGCTGAGAATGCTGGAGGAAGCTTATCTAGAGAGCGTATTGACTTTACTAAGCACATTGTCTCGCAGAAGGAGATCAAAGACCGCATGGAAATGAGTGCACGCGAGCGTAGACAGGCTGATGGAGATCAGTTGCGTATGGGTATAGTGCGGGACGCCGACAATGGCGGTTTGAGCAGTTTGTATAGAAAATTCAATAAGGGCACTGAGGGTCACGGAGAGACCAATATACATCCGTATGATAAGCGGGTGTTGGATTATTTTGCGTTTATTAAATCTCAGCAGCACGTGGCCAGTGACGGGTCTGTGTATGATCCGGTGGCGCCTGTACGGGGTGTGGATGCGAATGAGGACGCAATAGATAGCAAGGAGGTTGCTCAGGTGGTCAGTCCCTTCTCCGGATTCGGTGCGTATGTGGGTATGGATGGCAATACAAACGCCTTAGAAGTGGCACTGGGTGTTACTTGGGGGCTGATACTGCTGTGTGTGTTGTTGGCGGCGATTGTATTCTTCCTGAGACGGTGGCGAGAGAAGCGACCGGAAGACTACCAGAGTATTACGGATCTGAGCAAGAGTGGGACTACTACCAAGCGTACCACAGGGTATGAGCTGATGCGCGATACCGAAGACTCGAAGGCCAACGATGGCAACGTGTACTACTAGTAAGCTATTGTTGTGAAGGTTGTCACTTACTGATATATGCCAATTTTACTGAGAATACCATATTACACGATCCGATTAAACCCTAAACCCTTGTCAGCATGAGGAAGATTGCAAAGCAAATAGCATGTTACAAACATAACATCGATTGAGCATATGAAAGATTAACCACTAGACATGGCGAGAGATAGTTAAACACCAGTTATATAGCACGTATAACGTATTGGAAAGTAAGTTCTGAGTTGTATTTGATCCTCAGTCATGTGACGTATGTGAATATGCTATGTAGTATTGGTGTATATACTAATTCTTATTATTTCTAGGCAAGCTATTTTTATACAACATATCAGATCGGCCTCGTTTAGAAAGTACTGGGTTTCGTACTCGAATCACTGCGAAAGTATATACATGATATATTAGTTGGATTTATAGTTCAAATAGCGCACCCCTGAAATTGAATCTAGAGTGTTAGTGTCATTTATTTCTATGGCAGTATATAAACCAAGCATATATACCCTTGAATGTACGTATGAGCGGTTGAATCAATAGCCTTGCTATGCAAAGGTTTGTAGGCCCCTAATGCAATGTCTCATTGGGAGAAATAAAGCACACACGCCGATTCCTTTTACAAAGGGGTCGACTAGAGGAGAGTTCTTAATAACTGTATGAAAACAGCTGCAATTCTGCTCGATAGTAGAAAAAATAATGCGTTGTGGAATCGTTTCAGGTTTGAGCATCCAAAGCTAAAGAACGGACGCAGCTAGCTGCACAAAGAATACAAGCGAGACAACAGCAAATCACTAGCGATATCTTAGCTCGTGGGGATCTTTGAAATACATTTTTTTGTTTTTGAACTGGCCAAAAGTACAGAGGTAAATTTCTTCATGTCATACAATGTAGTGTAGCCATACAATAACAGTATTATAAGATGAAAGTCGAATTGAAGTATACACTTGTATAGAAGTAAACCTGCTACGGTGAAACAATTCCTGCTTTATGTTTTGACATCACATGTTTGCCGCATAATTCTAAGCATAGTCTTAGAAAGAAAGCTGGCTGTTTTTGTTTAGATAGAAAGAGTTCATTTTCGTCTTTACTGAAGACAATTGATCAAAACTCTAAATTCAGGGCGTCAAGATTTTCCCTGTCTTTTCTGAATGCTAAGTAAAGTTCAACTATATCATCCGCTGCAATTTCTCCGCTGTTAGTGCGGGTTTGTGCGGACACACCTCCCACCCATTGTTTTAGTACAACCTCCTCTTCCTCCTCTAGTACGGCAAAGTCATCCGCTGAAAGACTATCTGATTCCTCGGCAAACGGGAACATGTCATCGCCCATCAATGTATATGCCCCACTTTCCTCGGCCTCTATCTCAAATATACCGGTCTCCTCGGGTTCTACAACAACTGTTAGGTGCAAGGACGAGAGGACAGATTAGGTTAGCTTTGATGTGTTCCTACTGCCAGTAATGTATTGCGTGTATCGTGCCCCTTTGATAACTTTTAGTACTTCTAACATTATTGAACCACGTTTACCTAAGTGAATGCTGTAGATGTGGCTCGCACTACTCTCGCCAAATCATAGTAAACTCAATTACCGGTAACTGCAGACTATTGATCACGTATATATATATATATATATAAACGTGTGTGTGTGTGTGTGTGTGTGTGTGTGTGTGTGTGTG